GTTAAACTGCTCTTTTCCCCAAAGCACAGCCTAATTTTCCTTTTCAGGTATTTATCTGCTTCCAACACATCACATTCCAGCTCAACTTGCTGTGCGACTCCTTATCTCCCCTGACTCCTTGCTTATCAAAACCCTTTGTACTTTGGATACTGCAATTTAAAACTATCCTTAACTTTCTTTATTCCAAGGAGAGCAATCATAAATTCTGTAGTTGCCCACATCATTGTACGCTCTGGCGTAATTCTAGCGCGTGTGTGAACTTTTTCCTCTGATTCTGGAGATTAGACGTTTAAGTCCCATTCCAGGCACAGAATCCAGGTTGATGCTCCCAATGAGAGAGTGCTGCACTGTCAGAAATTCTGTGTCTTAGGTAAAATGTTAAAACATGACTCATTCTACCTCTTGTTGAATGTGAAAGATCCATGGGGCTAAGTGGAGTAAGAGGAAGGAAGTTCCGTCTGGTGTCGTGCTGAATGTTTGAAACCTTGATCAGCGTTGGGAGTGATGAGGACATTATCAGATTGCTCTTTGTGGAAGCTTGCTGTGCACAAGTTGGTTGTCATGTCTCTTACACTGCAACAGTGACTACACTTCTCCAAAAGTACCTCATTTCCTGTAACACATTAAGTTTTTTTCTTCTTTAATTGTTCATGAGATTATGGTGTTGCTGACAAGCCCAGCATTTGTTGCCCATCCATAATTGCCCTTGAACCAAGTGCCTTCCTAGGATCATTTCAGAGGGCAGTTAAGAGTTAACCACATTGCTGTGGGTTTGGAGTCATGTGTAGACTGGACCAGGGAAGGTTGGCAGTTTCCTTCCCTCAAGGGCATTGTGAACCCAATGGGTTTTTACAACAGTCAATGATAAATTCTTGGCCACCATCACTAAGACTAGGTTTCAATCCCATGGTTTATGAATTGAATTTAAATTGCACCAGTTGCTGTGGTGAGATTTGAACCCACGTCCCCAGGGCTGTAGTTTGGGCCTTCAGATTACTAGCCCAGTGACATTACCACCTGCTAAAGATCTGAAGCATTGAAAAGTGCTGTACAAATGCAAGCCTTTGTCCTTATGTATGTCCTCTATGTCCATTCACCATTCAAAGGCTGGGGGAAGAGACTCCAGAGGTGGTATAACTGAAGTGCATCCTCATTGCCCTCCTGATGGCCCTATCTCCGATGCTGGGCTGTAGCGGGGGAGGCAGTAGCTGTTCAAGTCCCACTGGTTGTCTGCTTGTCATTCAGAGTGCAGCTATGATTTCTGCTCAGACTGAAGCATCTGAATGTGCTAATGGGAACTACCCCTCGACTTATTCCTCACAGAGAACGTGGATCTTCTGGAGACGGCACAGGTACTGAGTGAGATTGCAGGCCTCCCCCTGACGGAGAGAGAGCGGGCAGAAGCTGAGGAGCAGGCTGAGCCCCTGGCCGAGAGGCGTGAGCGGCACCTCTTGGTCTTGTCGACTGTGGCCCGGGAGAGCCTGGAGCTTCAGGTGCCCCAGGATGTGATGCTGGAGCTACCCAATGGCATCAAGATGTACGGAAAGGACCTCGCTGCGATCACTGAACTGTTACACCCGACCCAGGTACCGTCTGCACGGGTGTGAGGGTTCTGAGTTGCAGGAGTAAACATTGCAGGCCCTTTTTGATGTCTATGCAGTGAGACTGCAACTTGCTCTGGGGGTGTTTGATGGGCTCAGTGTAGAGGAAGCTTTACTCAGTATCTAAAATCATGCTGTACCTGCCCTGGGAGTGTTTGATGGGGTCAGTTTCAGGGAAGCTTTATTCTGTATCTAACCCCATGCTGTACCTGCTCTGGGAGTGTTAGATGGGGACAGTACTGTCGGAGCTGTGCTTTCACTTTAAAGAGTAAAGGAAACTTTACTTCTAGTTAAAAGAGTAAGGAAAGTTTTATTCTGTATTTAGCCCTGTGCTGTCACTGTCCTGGAAGTATTTGATGTAGTCAGTGCTGAAGGAGCTTTACTTTCAGTTTAAAGGAGTAGAGGCAGATTTATGTTCAGTTGAAAAGTGTAGAGGGATCTTTAATCTGTATCTAACCTCGTGCTGTATGTCTTAGGAGTGTTTGACGGGAATTAGGTCACGTGGCCTTTACTTCCTGTTTAATTTTAGTTTAAAAGAATAGAGGAAGCTTTACTCTGTATCTACCCCATGCTTTTCCCTGTCCATGGAGTGTTTGATGGAGACAGTGTTGACGGAGCTTCACTTTTGATTTAAAAAAGTAGAGGAGGTTTTACTTTGTTTCTAACCTTTGCTTTGCCTCAATTAGGAAGATTTGCAGTAGTGTGGTGTGGCAGTAGTATTTCTCACCTATCTGAAAATGAAAGAAATGTCACTTGCCAATCACAAGTGTTAATCTCTGTTCAGACTGTGACCTTTCAACTCCCAGGTGCTGCTGCAGACAGGACCTCGGAAGTTCACCTTAGCTACAGCTGACACTGTAATCTCAGCTGGCTCTTTACTCTTCACTGTATCCCAGGAGACAAGCCAAGAGGAACCATCAGCAAAGCCGCAAGGTAACATCACTGCCATTTCTCAGCTCAGTTCTGCAGCTTTCTGAACTCATCTTCCTTGAACGTGTTTCTTTATCTAGATCCAGAAGTGGAAACAGAAGGGAAATTGTACAAGTGCTATCTCTGTAGTTTGACCTTTAATCGCCGTGGCAACTATGTCCGACATAAGAAAGTCCACATGGTTAACACAGAGGTTAGTGGTGTGGTTTTGTTTTGTACTTTTTCATTCCAGCTCAGTAACGTTGCCTGTTACCATCGAGCCTCAGGTCACCCACTGCTGAAATAGCCCAGCAAGCCACTCAGTTACATTCGAGGTGCTGGATCACCTTCGCCTTCTCAAAGGCAGTAATGAATTGAGAGCAATCCTTAGCTTTACCAGTGATAGTATCAGCTGGTGAATGAATTGAGGAAAGCTATCTGGGCCCCACAGATATCCAGCTGTGGATATTTGTAATTAACCTGTGAAGATACATTATGATCCATCTCTGGAGCAGTGGGTCTTGAACCCTAGCCTTCTGGCTCAGAGGTTAGGGACACTGTTACTCTGCCGCAAGAACCCCCTCAACTCCCAACTGTACACTTGGACTGTGCAATCAGTTAGCTGATGGCAGGCAGGACTGTGATATGGCTGTATGATCGATCCCAGGAGTGGGTTAAACAGGGAGAAATCACCTAGAATTCTGTAAAAGACCACTTCCGAAGACAAGCATGTGAGTTTTATGTAAAGTGCTGTGTGCTGTCCTGAGACCTTTGAAGTGAAACATCTTTCTGATTCAGGGCAGACAAAGCATGGTTCCTCAGAAAGCTTTGAATGAATAATTCCTTTTTTTTTTGCTGAATGAGGAAAGAAAGTCCTGACATTTCTTCTGAGAACCAGGGTAAGGGTCTAAATGACTGGGATTTGTGTCACTGATGTTTCAGAGTGATGGTGTGGCTTGGTTTCTCTACCCTCCTCCCCAAAGTGAGAAATAGGAAAGCTATTTATATATTGACTGACTTTCACAACTTCAGGATGTGCTTTACAACCAGTGAGGTTTTGAAGTGTGGCCACTGTTGAAGTGTTTGAATAAGTAAATGAGCATAAGTATGGAATAAATATCGGTCAAGATATTGTGGAGAGGGAATCCCTGTTTTGAGTAGCGTGTGCTGAGTGAAAAGATGTCCATTTAATAACTCATCTGAAAGATGGCACCCTCTGACAATGCAGCACTCCTTCAGTATTGCACTGGAAGTATCTGCTTGAGTTTTGTATTTGAGCCTTTGTTCTTAATCCCTTGACCAGCAGACTTGGGAGTGCAAGTGATTTCTAACTCAGCCACACTGACACCGTGGTGGGCCGGGCAGAGTCACTGGGATATCCTGTTCCTGGTCACCATGGAGTGACCACAGTAATGTCCATTAGCTGGTCTGGATTTGGTCTTGTGGGTTTACTGAGAGAAAGTCTAGATGTTGAGAATTGAACATGGGAGGCACCACGACTAATCCTGTCCTTGCTACCTGTTCTGACATGTTCTTCTGGGTCAGTGGTAACGATTAAGGATCATGAAAATGACATCTGTGTTGGTCTCCTTAGTGCTAGGAATTAAAGCCAACTGGAGCCTGTCGTGCTGCACAACAATGAGGGACACAGCTGCTGTTAACTCTCTTTTCCCTCCTCTTGTTCCCAATCTCTGTGCGCCCTTCTCTTGCAGGAAGATGCCAGGTACAAGTGCCCACACTGTGACCGCCAGTTCATTCAGCATTGTGACCTGAGGAGACACGTTCACATTCACACAGGAACGCAGCCCCACAAGTGTGACGTGTGCAGGAAAGGCTTTCTCAGAGCCAGGTACGGAGAGAATTTGCAGTTTGCAAAAGGACATGTTCAGCCACCAGTCATCTCTTGCCCCCAACTAGGATCGCTCTTGGTTTGAAACATGGAATGCTGGAGAAACTCAGCAGACCTGGGAGCTTCTGTAGAAAGAGAAACAGAGTCAATGTTTTGAGTCCAGTGACCTTTCAGCAAACCCTTTTCCAAAGAAGGGTCACTGGAGTTGAAATGTTGGCTGTTTTTCTCTCTCCACAGATACTGCCAGGCTTGCTGATTTTCTCCAGCACTTTGTTTTTGTTTCAGATCCGCAGCTCTTTGTTTGGCTTCAGTTTGTGGTTCATGTTTTAATCTGCTCTAATTTCAGCGATCTGGTGGTCCACAAGAGATTTCACACCAAAGATCGCCCGTTCCAGTGCAGCCAGTGCCAGAAATCCTTCTTCCAATCTGGTGAGTTCATCACAGGGATTTCCACAAACCACTCGATTAGACTGCAGCCTGCAACTCATTCCCGAGTGCCTGCTACTCGATGCATAAAATCAGTTCAACCCTTTGCAATCCTCACTGTTACTCCTGCTCCAAGTCAAGAGCCAAGACCTCTCCTTTCCACGTCTTCCTTAAACTAACCATTATAAGTTAGAGATAACAAGGTGTAGAGCTGGAGGAACACAGCAGGCCAAGCAGCACCAGAGGAGCAGGAAAGCTGACGTTTCGGGTCTGGACCCTTCTTCAGA